TTGCGTTGCCGCTCCTCGCTGCGGAGAGCCGAAGCCTGCCGAGCCGCCTCAATCCCGTCGCGTCGCTGGTACTCACTCTCCATTCTTTTCGGAGAAACTTTTTTGCTGTTTGGTGAGCACAGATGCTGCCGCCTCGACGACAACGCGGCGTCACTCTCAGCATGATCACCGTCGCCCACCTCACGATTCGTCGGCGAAGCCCCACTCAGGCGACTGGAGTTCAAGTTCAGTTGCCGACGGCCATCAATCCTTCGGCCAACTTTAATGGTTTTAAAAGCCCGCAATCCCTCTTCCGTGATACTGATGCAGTCGTCCACCGAAAGCGCTTTTGCAGGGTTCTCTAAAGCCAACGCCACCTCATTAATAACGGCCTTCAGCTTCCCAAGGAGTTGGAATGCTGACAAAGGTGAGCTTTCCTTTGTATTCAAATACTGCGACTGTTGCCCACAATTTTCCTCCGTTATGGACTGCGTCTCAAAGGACCTTTCAGTGCTGCGCTCACAACCCTTTTGTGCATTCATCTTCCTTCAGACCAATCTTCGACAAAGCAAAAAACCATAAACAGAAAAAGAGAGATTGAGAGGAAAAAAAAAACACGCAGACGAGTAAAACAAGTGGAAACATGTCAAACTGATGAGGCAACACACGCAAAATAAAGGGGAAAAAGAACAACTATAAGAAGCATGACGCCAATTTTCTCAATTACCTTCCTAACAAAAAGAAAAATTAGTACCCCAAGAAAATTAAGAAAAATGCTGCATCATACTAGTAATATCAGTGGTATTATATATATATATATATATAATATACGCTAGCATTCCTCTAAACTCTAACATAACAAGAAATTAACCTATAATAGGGAACGCACAAAAAAAAAAAAAAACGATACAAATACGCGATTAGCATGCATTACTTTCATCCATACAGACCACAATATTAAAAGCATTTGTTGTGCACAATGCTTGGGCCTGCCTCGTCATACTCACTCTTCTTGATCCACATTGTCTGGAATGTCGTAAGGGATGAAAGGATGGAGCCTCCAATCCATACACTGTACTTCCGCTCCGGTGGCGCAACAACCTTCGGCTTAATTGAAGAAGGTGCAAGGTTACTGATCTCCTTTCCAAGACGCTCTGGAAGATTCTTGAACATTGTGGTGCCGCCAGAGAGCACAATATTCCCGTACAGGTCGCGACGCACGTCAATATCGCATTTGTTGATGGACTGGAAGGTCATCTCATGGAACCCGGGGGCTTCATCGAGGCCAATCAACATGGGCTTGAAAAGCGCCTCGGGGCAGCGGAAGCGCTGGTTACCCACCTGCATGATTGTGCCATCTGGGAGCTCAAACGGCTCCTCGTTAACAGTTTTGGCACTGTTCGTCACCTCTTCATCAAAGTCCAAAGCAACATAGCACAGTTGTTCCTTCACATTCCGAACAATCTCCTTCTCGGCAGACGTAGTGAACGTCATCCCACTCTCCATCAGAAGCTTCATCAGATATTCCGTGAGGTCCCGGCCAGCCATGTCCATACGGCGAATGGCATGTGGGAGAGAGTATCCCTCGTAAATAGGGACGGTGTGGGTCACGCCATCACCAGCATCAAGAACGATACCGGTGGTTCGTCCGGACGAGTAGAGTGAGAGCACTGCCTGAATGCCAACGTACATGGCGGGGACACCAAAGGTCTCAAACATGATCTGTGTCATCTTCTCACGATTTTGCTTGGGGTTCATAGGGGCTTCTGTTAGTAGGACGCTGTGTGACTCCGGGTTGACGCGCAGCTCATTGTAGAAGGTGTG